CTATAGATATATGTGATTATCACAGTAATAATGCTCTAGTGAGTTTGACACTGAATACTCAGCTCCACTTAATTTACTGAGCGCTTACACTGACTTCATTTTAAAAAAAAAAAAAAAGGTAAATTTAATGATTATTTTTAAAGTCTCTACTGTGAAACTCTTGAGCAAGTTTGTGTAATCTGTAAAGTTCGTTGGTGGCCTGTTGCTTATTGCTGTTTTAAGGGATTGTGGGTAATATAGAGTGCAGAGGTGCCCCTAAGTGGGGTGCCATTGCACAGAAAATGTTGATTGTGTGCCAAAGTCAAAACACGTCACTGCGTATTTGTGCCGCAAGGTAATTGGCTTTTTTTTGAGAGACAGAGAGAGAGAGAGAGAGAGAGAGAGAGAGAGCGAGAGAGAGAGGATTGGCAGATGAGAATCCATTCCTGTTGTCAGTCAAGAACGAAACTGAATTTATGCTTCTGTGAACCTATTAAATGGATTCAGTGAAATGCTTTCTACATTTCGGCATTTCTCAGTTTGAGTTGAATTGCAAACCCTGCAGCGACGTTGGGAGGAACCACCAAAGACACAGCGGTGTTCGTGGGCGGCTCTGCCTTGCTGTCTAGTCGCTACGACGGTCCATCAAAATGTATTTTAGGGCTAGGTGACAAAACGCTAAACATGTTTGCAAACTAACTTTTCCTTGGAAGACATACGAGCGAGACTACACTTGGGTAGATTGTATTTTTCCATTTTCTGACAGACAAACACAAAGAGCCAATCGACGTGTCTGGAACAGAGCTGCTCCAAGTTAGGTTGACACATCCAGCAAAGTAGGAGCTACTCGCAACAGGCATGTGAATGTGTGTACTGTTACAATAGGAGAGCGCTGAACAACAAGAAAATGAGTGTTCCCTCAGAGGAAATGTTGGAAGACACAGCGCAAAAAAATCCCCCCCTCCCACATACACAAACACGCACACACACATGGACACGCATGCACAGTGACAACAACAGAGCATAGGGTGACTGATAATCAACATTCAAATCACAAGTAACCTTCTATAGCTTAGCATCTCATGTAAGATTCACCAAAGTATCGCAGGACTTTTTTGCCATATCGTCCAGCCCTAAATTGTCTTTACATAAAACCGATCCATGGTGCAAAAAAGATTTATGGCCTACTATCCTAGAAAACTGCAGCAAAACAACTAATCGTGCAGTCCCATAAGTTCATACAATTATGTTATTGGGTTCAGAAAAAAAATTTGCACCAATCACAACAACCGCTGGTGCTCCTTTGAGAACCAGATCAAATTGTTCTGTTTACCCCTGGCAATGTATCTCATTTCCTTCCTATACTGTATATCTCCTTTTTTCCTTTCGTCAAGCGACCTTGGCTCAAGGTCGCTTGAAAGGATGCATCGAGCCACCTTCCCTAAGTGTCTTTAGAAGTCAAACGACATATCATCCCGGTACTTTCAGATAGTCTGGTTCATATGGGAGAAGAAAGTTCATGAGCAAAAACAAGACTCTGAAGAGGCCCAAACACTCACACATATGGACAAATTAGAGCACAGGTGTCAGACTCAAGGACTGGACCTGGCTTGCCAAATCATTTGTTGCTGCCCATCCATCCATTTTCCGATCTGCTTTATCCCCACAAGGGTCGCCGGGCATGCTGGAGCCTATCCCAGCTGTCTTTGGGCAGTCGATGGGGGACACCCTGAACCGGTTGCCAGCCAAACGCAGGGCACACAGAAACGAACAACCATTTGCGCTCACACTCACACCTAGGGACAATTTAGAGTGTTTATTCAGCCTGCCATGTATGTTTTTGGAACGTGGGAGGAAACTGGAGTACCCGGAGAAAACCCACACAGGCCTGGGGAGAACATGCAAACTCCACACATGACACCTGCATTGTGAGGTCAACGCGCTAACCACTGGACCACCGAAGCAAGTACTTCATTTCTTGCAAAATAGATTTGTTCTTTACATTTTGTTGGAAAATCTGTACCAGGAATGCATTTTTGTTATTCATTTTGTACATATTAGCATTTTTCTCACCAAATATCACCTTAACTAAATAGTTTGGTCCTTAAAACATTTGGGTGTCACTGTTTTCCAAGACTTCTGATTTCAAAGTGAAGCTGTTGCTAAAAATAAAAATGAAATGCAAAAGCAATGTACCGGTATTATGGTGTGATTATGCATTCATGTGACCTTCATAGTCATAACAGCAAGGAAAGCCAGAACGGTAAATAAAGTTGAGTTTGACAGCCCTAATTTAGAGTATTCAATTCATCTAACATGCATGTTTTTTGGAATGTGGGAGGAAGCCAGAGATCAGATGCACGCTCCACACACGAAGGTCAAAGCAGAACTTCAGAGGCTGTGAGGCAAACATGCCAAACATGTAAACCGCTCATTCACAGTGCTGCTCACATGCAGTGTTGTCCTGATAATGGTGTTCATTTTGGGTTGGGTGCTGTGTGGGTGGGTTGAGGCTAAGTAGGGGTGGGGGTGGGGGTGTCAGAGACGCATGTGATTGCTTGGTACCTGGTTGGGGTCACTGGCCTTGAACACGTGACAGGACATCTCAGCTTCGGGGTTGTCTGGGTGGGCCCGCAACAGATAGGCAAAGTAGGTGAGGTCGTTGCTGTTGTGCATGAAACGGGAGATGTGCTGCGCCTTGTGCTCGAAGATAAAAACCGAATAGTTGTTGTTGGAGGAGGAGGAGGAAGAAGAGGAGCATGGTACGCAACGGAGGAAAGGGCTGTGGAGCACCAGCTGCACCTCCCGCGGCTGCATGGCGGGGCCGCAGTCGCCCCGCTCGCTCCTCCGCCGGATCTCGGCCACCAGCCACGGGAGCATTGGCAGCGAAGTGCGGCGGTCCAGCACTGACCAGCCGATGTACATCAGCGGGAACCTCTTCTCCGGTATGTGGCTCCCGTCCTCGCCCGTGGGGGTCTCCATGCTGGACAGCTGTGACATTTAAAACTTTTTTTGCGGAAAAAAAAAATTGCCACTGTCCAAAGTCGCAAAAGTGGCTAAGTGGGATGGAATAAAATGATCAAACAAAAACGCACTGATCCTAGGTTCCTGTCTTCCTCGTCTTCTTGTTTTTGTCCATACAAGCAAGCTAGAAACGTGGCTCTGGAGTGCGCCAATATACACACAAGACTGTGCTTACTTTCTTCAGGAGCGCGTCAGACTCCCCACATCCCCGCGGCCTGCACAAGAACCGAACCGGCAGCGACGACATGCCGATTCCCCTAAAAGATACCTGAAACGTTGTTTGCAGGGCCGTCTTTCCTCTTGTCTCGCTTTCCTTCCACGCAGTCTTGCAGAAGGGAGGTGGAGCGGCCCATGCGCCTCGAGAACCCGCCCATCCACAGCACATGTGCGAGGGTTTAGGGGTGGGGCCTCCGTGTGGAGAAACGTGACAGCGCAGAAACACAACAGGGAGTACCTTTTCCAGTGGAGCGCGTGTGTTCCCGTTCGTGCCGGGGTGTCCTACAGAGCGTCTTTCTCGGGACCTGACAATTACATTTTGTGTGTCAATGTCACTCACATTGTTCAACTGCATAACAGCTCATTGCTCAGTTAGAGGACGATTTAATCAAACGTTTTGGGGAAAAATAAACAGTGCATTTAGTTGATGGATATTTTTTTGCCATTTCATTGGGGGAATGAGAAAATATCTTCTCATTCAGGATTCACCCTTATTTTAACAAGGATGTTAACTTTGGAGACCCCCGTTGCACACCTACCACGTGCCGTGAATCCAAGCCGCCCCAAAAATAGCAGTTGCAACCTTATCAGCCAAGACATTGGAGCACTCGTGCTTACCAAACTAACTGCCTGCTTCTTCATCCTTCGCAAAAATTGCCAAAACAAAAGATCAGAGGTTTATTTCCTTGTGCCCTTTTCACATGGCCCATCAAAGCAGAATACAATGAAACCCAACTCGTCACGGAAGGTAAATCATTGACACTCACCCCTAAAACGTATTGATATTTCCCCTTAATAAGAGCTTAACCGGAGATTGACCACAAACGTTGATCACAAATCATTTTACATAATTACCTTTGACAAGCAATGGCTGAAAGATGATTTGATTTCTAGAAAATGCTAATGCTGTTCGTGTCTGGTTTTCAACTTCATACCCCCGTCCCAGGCATTGCAGCGTATGCACATACTGTACTGACAATGGCTCAAATATGAGCGACCTGAAGCTTGTAGTGCTGCCGTGCACAAAGAGAGGAGCAGCTAGTTGTTTTGCTTGTTACGTGTCTAGTCCCCAGTCACAGTAATAATCCGAAGTTTCCAACCATAATATTGACATTCAGTTATCTTATATTCTTTCATTCTTCGAATATTTTCTTCTTCTTCGTATTGTGGTCTGGATGCTCGGTGGCCTTATGCTGCCTCCCACAGGACAGTCTTGGTGCTACAACAAATACAGTCTGCGAATAGCGGGGTTGCGCTGCACCTTTGTATTTCTTACAAATACAAAGGTTCACACATTATGAGCATTTCACTTGTAAAATGTACCATTGCCAGACCAAACAAGGCTATAAACTGTGTTGTTTTGAATCTTCTCATCCTCATGGAATGTGGAAGAAAGTTGAGTCTGGCAAGCTCAGCACTTTTCACTACTGCTTTTGAGGAACGAGGGCGACATTCCTCACATTCAATCTCAAAGGAAAGGGCACGAAGACGATACAGAGTAGTATGCCTGCTTTCGATCCAGCAAAGCAGTTGTGTCATAAACGAACAAAAAGTAGTGTTTTGCAGCATGTACTGATACTTTTTAAACCATTTACCTGAAAAAAACATGACAATTGCAACCCTGGCCTTGTTCAAATGGTTATAGGTGATATAGAGTTGGTGTATGAATACCACGTGCTTTCTGAGGTCGTGTCAGGGCCATTTGGGAGACTGGCCTGCACCTGTGCCTCAGTGTATTCGACACAGATGCTAAAACTCATGCAGGCATCACAGAAGACTGTAAAAGGTAAGACGGGTTTATTTCTAGAACAAATAAAGTAACTTTATTTTTTGCACAAATTACAGATCGTTGTGTATTTATTAGCCCAATTAAATTATGCATATTCTCATGCATGCAGTGTTAAAACTGCACAGCTGTGAGCACTGACAGCATGTTTTCTTTTGTCTCTTTAAACGTATTGTTTCCATTCAACACATGAGCTGTCCGTGTAAAACATGCACTTGCGCTTCAGACTACAAATCTACCATTCAGGTTGCTTTTATCATTCGCAAAGACTCAACATACTGTAACTTTGTCTGAATAAAAGTAAGTGCTCACAACCTTTGGTAATTAATGGTATGTTCTGTACAAATGACGGACACAAAAATTTACATTTCTGGTGTGAGAGCTGACTAGCAGTCATTTTTGTCATTTTGTATGTTTTACCTTTTTGGGAGGATTTTTATGAAATGTCAGAAATGTGAGGTTACTGGATGGCGTTGATGTGGTGAATAAAGCAACTCAACAGTACAAAACATTCAATAGTGTGAAAATGTGAGTCAACAGTAAACACTGGCACGTGTAGTCATATGCCATCATATAGTCTCCATGACAGCCGCCAGCTCTTTTATCTGCTTGTGAAAGTTCTAGGAAGAAACAAAAAGTTAAGTCATATTATCATAGTGGAAAAAATGATACTGAACATGCCGGTGTATACTTGAAACTGCGGGACGGTCATCTCAAAAGCCTTTCGGCTGATCTGGCCTGACGGCTCAGCGATTTTCAGCAGGATGGTGACAAAGGGGGAGTTGAGAGAGCGGCAGGTGTCAGAGCTCACTGCCATGCCCAACTTCCACTGCATGTCCACAAGCTACAAACAACAACGTTAAAATTCAAGGTGACGAGTTGGACCTGGTTAAAATGAGCAAGGCTGCTATATTGTATTGATTACCCGACCAACGCTGAGCAAGTCCTGGGCTGCCTGTTGGACTTGCACCGATTCTCCATGCTGACTCCACAAGCTGTGAAGCACCTGAAGTAAGGAGCAGGCAAATATTTTTTTTCAAAACTGTGATAAGAGTATTTGTATTGAGAGAAAAAAAAAAGATGCCAACACATCTTTCAAGCAACTGAGGTAAACTAGGTTGTGCTACTTGGCAGCAACCCGAATATATACTTTCACGGTGGAAATTATATATTTTTGTTTGTAAATGGGTATATCATTAAAGCTTGCTGCCTTGACTTCAAAAGTAGTAAATTATTTTTGTACTAAGAAGGCTTTTATTGTCTGCTCAACATGGGGTCTCGTGTCTACTGACCAAAGCTATTCTACCAGCTGGTTTCTTACGGTACATCTTTCTGTCCACTCCAGTGTAATTTTTGCCGACTAAAATTGATGTTAGAGTACATTAGCCAAGTAACTGCTCATCTTTTTTTAGACTGATGAAAGACATTGCACCTGAAGTGAAGCTTTGGACCAATTTTTGCTGCCTTGTTCTAGTCTTGACACGAGGTCGTCTGCAGACAGTTTGCTCTTCGCAGCAGACCTGCCAATTATAAAGCATGAAGTCAATGCTCTTTTACATTTTTAGACGCCTGCGCCACAACACTGAACAATACCTGAAGGTTATTGTGAGGAATCTGATGATGCTCTGTAGAGATTCGTGGCCAAGTGTGACTCCAGCTCTCTGAAATATCTGGACACAGCATAATAATATAGCTCTGTGTGTCACAAAAATGAAGTACTGTATACAAGCACTAATTCCATTATGTGTATTTGCTCACATCGCAAATTTCTGCGGAATCAACTCCTTTTGTCTGCCCTTGCAGATAACTCAGGATGTGCTGACACTGGAGATTATAAAACAAGTTAATATTTGAAGGTGCAACAACACATTCTGATTCAGGTGTGCGAAAACAGCCTTGTTTTGGGGGAAATGAAGGAGTATTTCTGGTGTTGTATGTACTTACGTGTTCTGCCAATAAATCTGGATTGAGTCTGCAGACGCTCTCCACAACGTTGTCTGTCCCTTATAATCAATGAAAATACGAAGTTACAATCAGCATTTCACATGGACCCTGAAACATTAACAGTTAGTTACAGCACAGGTAGCTAGCAAGTTCCCGCGAGACAAGATAACGCTATCTAGGAAGTTGTCGGAACCAGTTGTATGTTATACAAACAAGGCAGGTCAGTTTTAGATTAAAATGACAGCTATGATTTCACGCATACGTAAAAGAATATTTCTTTGACAAACCAAGAGAGTGTTCCAGCGACGGCATCCTCGGAGTTAAGCTTTGCTCCAAAACGTTCTCGAAGTGTGGATGATGTGATTAAAAAAAAAAAAAAAAAGCGGCGTAAATCACTTCCGGGTCGGCACGATAATCAGTTCTTCAATTTAGAAAGACGCAGTAAAAACAATGAATGTTGTATTTTGCGTAGCGGTAGGTGACATGTCGCTACACACTCTATATGTGTGTAATCCTGAAGACATTGTAAAATGCAATCAATTTCCTAAATCAACTGTTTGCGATAAATTTATCTCAATATCTCTGACTTGACTTTTTCGCCTGTAAATTTAATGGACAACAATGGCGCCCCTGTCTGGTGTCTGTATGCAACACACACGGAGACCGATTGTTACACGTGTGGTTATTTAGCAATGTTTATTCCTGTGTTCTTTCGATTTGAGGAAAAATTTAAAATACTCACTTTTCGTAATGTGACTATTTCGTGTCCATTTATATCTACACGACGCGTTATTCAGATATGAAAGCAAAAGAAACACTGCATCGAAAGCCCGCCCTCAATTCTGGAATGTTTCATTCTGTGGGTGGTGATGTCTTTTAAATGGTAGGATAAAACAAATTATTCTGACCATAGAGAGCAAATGTATAACAGTTTAATATTTAATTAGAAATGAAATTAAAATAAACGTGCTTAGTGAGACTACATCTGAAAATATTTTTAAAATGTCACCCACAGCAGAAGATTACGCCCCTCTCAATATTGTTAAATAGTGAGTGCGGTTACCGACGCGGAAGTACAGCCCGGCTGTCACACTCGCCTGGGGATATCTAGTTTCTTCTCTCAGTTTTGCTAGCAAACGAATTGAATTTGTCTTCAAAATGAGTGCACCAACTTGGTTGCCTCTGGAGGCTAATCCCGAAGTACGTGTTGATTTTGGTTTGTTCCTTATATTTGAGACACATCTGTCTAACATACAAACATGTGCTAACGACCTACCTAGTGCTAGAACCGGAGCAAAAGCTAATAACGTTATAGTTGTCATCATGTTTACGAAAGCTTAGCTAATGGCTCTTTTTGTATCTTTTCAGGTCATGACGAAGGTGAGTGGGGCTTCAAATTAATTAATTTGCTGACAGACAAGTTAAAATGCTACCTGCAATGTGGAATAAGGCCCTAAACACCGATGTTGCGCTCAATACGTGACTGAATGTGTTAACTGGCTTGCAGTGAATGATATCGCTTGAAGTAAAAGTTAATCATTTTGTGGCTAGTTCGTCAACTCTTTGGGCATGAAGCAAAGCTGGCAGTTTGGAGACGTGTATGGATTGGATCCAGATATGCTCAGCATGGTGCCAAGACCTGTTTGCGCTGTGCTGCTCCTCTTCCCCATCACAGAGAAGGTACGTACACGTACACATTTTGACTGGCACAATCTAATGCAGGGGTGGGCAACTCCGACATGTTTTAGATGTTTTCCTACTTCGACATACCTGATTCAAATGACTAGGATCATTATCCGGCTTCTGCGGAGCTTGCTAATTAGCTAATCATTTGAATCGAATGTTTCAAGGAGGGAAACATCTAAAACATGCAGCATAGCAGCTCTTGAAGACTGGTGTTGCCGACCCCTGATCTAATGCATGGGTGGCAAATCAATAGTGGAGCAATTGAGTTGGTCTAAACGTGTTGTAGTATATGTTTAATGAATATTTTGGTGCCTCTTAACCAGTACGAAGCATTCAAGCAAGAAGAGGAAGCGAGACTAAAGAGTCAGCGGCAGGAAGTGTCCCCCGACGTCTATTTCATGAGGCAAACGATCGGCAACGCCTGCGGCACGATAGGACTAATTCATGCGGTGGCCAACAACCTAGCACACCTGGAATTTGGTGAGTTGTCATTGTTCCGAGACGGCACAAATTCAACATGGACACATGAGCCTCTCTCTTTTGGACAGAACTTCCAAAATTGCAATGGTAGAGATGTAATAAAATCCTAACTACACGTGAGTGCCTTCCGTTAGCTTTCGAACCCTGCTCCTGACTCCTGCATCTTTTCACGACTCCAATATGACCTCAGAATGCTGAATAAATAGGCATGACAACTTGGGACCCCGTTCCGTCTCGGTGCTGCTTATGAAGAACATTAACATCAATGGAATTTGGGAAAATATCATTCTTCGCTATATGCTGTGTAAAAGGAGTCGTTGCTAAACCTTGGAGTTGGAGCCTGCACTATTGATTTTTCATTTGTACTTTTTTTTTTTTTTCCAGAGTCTGACTCAGTTCTGAAGAAGTTTGTCGATCTGACCTGTAAAATGAGTCCGCAAGAAAGAGGTGTCTTCCTGGAGACAGATGAGGTACTCCTGAAAGGAACACAATGGCATCAAATATTAGCATTAGCATCAGCTAACGAGTACCCCTTGTTTTTAATCATCAGAGTATACGAGTCACACATGAATCCAGTGCACAGGAAGGGCAGACTGAGGTGTGTTTTTGGTTTTGCTCATTACTTGGATTTGAGGGAAGGTACGTTGTTGTTATTGGGGTTGATTTTTGTCTTTTGCAGGCACCAAGCATAGATGAGAAAGTCAACCTTCACTTTATAGCGTTTGTGAATGTCGGAGGGCAACTGTATGAATTAGGTGAGCTGACTGCAGTGTCAAATACCCCTTAACCTGTACAAGAAGGTATTTGACAAACAATTCCGGCAAAGAATACGCTGTTAACTTCACACAAAATTTGACTTCAGCGCATTGACGTCCAATAAGTGTTTTCCAAGCATAGCAATTGTTAAGAAATGCCATAGTTTGCCGTGCTGCTGGCTTGATAGATTGATTGAGTTATTTATTTTGCCTAAATTTACCTAAATGTTTTTTTTTTCCCTCTTTTCTCACCCAGATGGTCGTAAACCCTTTCCAGTTCTTCACGGGAAAACAACGGAAGATACTCTCCTCGAGGTATGATGGTGCACTCCCTCACCGAAAAAAAATGTTGCCGTTGTCGTAAAAAAACGAAAATGTGAAAGCACAACCACTCTTCATTGCAGGACGCTTCGGAGGTTTGTAAGACCTTCATGGCCCGCGACCCGCAGGAGGTCCGCTTCACCATCATTGCCCTCTCCAAAGAATCTTACTGAGGCAATCCCATAAGCGGAGGGAACATTTTTACTGCCAAAACATTCTCAAGTGCTGGCTTGATCTGCATCTTCAACATAGCTCAGCGACTGATTCACAGGAAGCTAATGAACATTTTTCAATTAAAACATTTCCATTAATTACTTTGCCAAACTTGGCTGAGATTCTTTGGAAGCTACTACAAGTGCTAGCTTGTTCCTGCACTAAAATGTTTACAAAATTGAGCAAAGTGTTCAGTGTTGGCGGCGGTTTTGGACATCAAAGACGGTGTTATGAAGCGCTTACTAATTGAGCACGTCTCCACCTGGGCACCAGTCTAAGTCAAGATATCATGTCCTTGTGAACGATGCCTTTGTTTTTTTGTAACCATGTAAATCACTTCTCAATTAAACACTAAAATGAATGTTATGTCTTTCTGTTCTGTTTGCATTGATGAGCATATGTTGCTCGCCTGGATAGCATAGTAACGTTTATGTATACATGTAAAGTTAGCACGTGCGGTAGAAATCTGTGACAGAAAATAAGCAGAGCACATGTTTCATGCCGTTACTTCACACAGAGACTATTTATCATTCTTCGCAAAACATCCAACTGACTGTTACTATCAGTGTCCATAGTTTCTGTCTTACAGTCTAAACACATTCCTGCCCAGTAAAATACAACCACGTTCCTTAGTTTAACACATTTCAATGGAACATGAGCCCAGTACATTTACCTTTTCAACCACCTTGTCATCGTCTGATTAACTGTTTTGAATCTCTTTTTACATGTGTAGAAGTTTCAAGTTGGTCAAATATTCAGATTTTTAACAATGAAACCTGACAATATTTAAACGACTCGTTTGCACTCTTATAAAGGAACAGTCGGTAGCATTGTTCTTCACACCAATTTAAACATTACTACACTACACTGGAAATTGGTAATAATCCAATTATTAGTATGAGTATTCAAAAGACAATTTTCCAAATGAGGTCCCCTGGTTTAATTTGCGTTAACGCCCTGCAATACGCGTCAACTTGCACAGAGTGTCGCTGCAGTGTGCCTGTTTCTTTGAAACGGAAAAAAAAGTTAGAATCCCTTCAAGGGGAGACTCGAACTTTTTTTTAAACAATTGAAGAAGGCGTATTTAGTGATCCGCTGGGCTCCCTTCATTTTAGCCACTTGAACAGACTCCGTGGAATATGGTCCGTAACTGGAAGGTGACTGTTGCGTGGGAGAACAATTCCAAGGTATTGTTCAACAGTACTTCGTGCATAATAGACAGGTGTGCCTGATTCGAGCCCGTGTGATCATGTGATGTGATGCAAAAGAATGCGTGACTGTTCCACCTTGCGCACGCACGACAATAGAATGCGTGTAACTGTTTCGTTGTGTTTTGTTCACAGCGAGATTAGGAAATATCACCTGGTTGGTCCACTCGGCGAGTTTCGATCGTCGATGAGAAGAGAAGGGAGTACAGCAGAATAATGTCCACGTCTGTGGACGTTTAAGCGCGGGGTCAGTTCATAGAAAAAACAAACAGGACGTTTTGGTGTGATGGAGTGGCGAGAACAGTCCACGGTGAGCTGTCAGGACGCGTACGTGGAGGCTCAGAGGTGGATCGAAGTGAGTGCAAGCGTTTTTTCCTTTTGGTTTGCTGTCTTTTGGTGTCACATACCTTTGGTCAGAGATGTTGTCTTTCTCAAGAAACGGAAGATTTCACACTTGTTTGACAAATTGCAAGCTGAAAAAAAACAACGATGGGTGTAAAACTAGAGTTATTGAGTGTCACATGTTGATGAGTCATCGAAATTCACATTTTATACAGACAGTATACAGTATCTGCAAAAAAAAAAAACCTCAAAGCTTAGTTTTAGATTCAAGAGATCCAACATTTTAGTAAGTTTAAAATAATTTTATGAGCATGTTTTTGATGTTGCCTTTTTTATACAACTTCAAATCACAGCAACACATAACTCGCATTGTTTTTTATTATTGATTGATTTTTGCATTTACAGGCATTTGTGGATTTATTCAAGAGACCCAAATTTCAGGATTGAAAAAAAATGGTATTGTCTGTACACAGTGCCACAAAATATTGTAACTCATGGCCACGTATCTCGAGCAAGAATTACAACCAATCAATAAATCAAATTTATTTATTTATCAATTTATTTAATCTGGCACCTGTTGCAAGATAACTCATACCTTCATGTTCATTTTTTAAAATTATATTAATAATTACCAGGAGGTCCTGAATTTTCATATTTTATTTTTTTTAATTTTGTCCCCCTTAGTTTTTGATGTTTTGAAATGATTTTTATAGTAATTTGTGGGTGGTTTACTATTTTGACCTGAGAGCATATTGGCAATATTAGCTTAGCGTGTTTCTGTGGACGCTGCATTACCCATTTACCGCATATACTCCACAGTCTCCAATTTGCTGCAACACTCCGTTTTTTTCTTTTATTTGTTTTACTGACCTTTCTGATGAATTGATTTTGAGATGTAGTTATGGGAGAGTTCTGTTCTCCCTGATCGTTGTTTTTTTTGTTTTGTTTTGTTTTTTGTTTGTTTTTTTTAAAGCATGTCTCATTCCAACTGGTCCATTCAGTGTGACATGATATTCACAGTTTCTACCTAGTATGTCTACCAGCCATGTTATTAGCTTGGCACCTGTCAAGTGTCAGCAGTGGACCACTCACTTGTTGGGGACAACTTACTGTATAAGCCACATAATAGTGGTTCCAGAACCTCCTAACCAATTTCTTTTTCTGCAAGGGTGACAGTTAAGGCCTTCTCCCACTGGTATGACAACTTGTAATTATGTACACTTTGCTTGACCCAGTGATCTTGGTGGCAGAACTTGTTTTGAAATGGCTCCAAAAGACTTCTCCAACTTGGTCAGTCTCCAACTGTCCTTCTTAGATCTTCCTTGAGTTCCTTGGACTTTACCCATTGTTCTGAGTGTTGGTCACTATTGTCTGTCATTCCAAATCATTCATTAAAAAAGTAAAAATTAATATGGCATTCATGTCCACAACTGCACATGTGAGTGACTGAGTTGAATGAAAGCGACCAAATCATAAACTATGTGTTAGTAATCTGATACATGAGTTAGTAGAGCTTCACTACCAGGCTGTGTTTAGTGGCTGAAATGAATGCGAATGCTTTCAGTGTGACATCAGTGTCGCGCACACTGGCCCATTGTAGCCGGCGGGCACCAAGATTCAAAAAGTAAGCCCACCAGCTCGTGCAGGTAGAATGGACAATGGTTGTGGTTTTAATGCGAGAGGGCTGGTGGCTAAGCGTGTTTTTGGGTCCACTGGCTGCTGAATGATTAACAAGCTGCCTCAGCTTCACACAACTTGAAACAGAGGCTTAAGTGTTTTGGTTGTTGGAAATGGTGGAGGCAATGTTAAAAAGTTATTCTTAAATGCTGTGCAGCTTGTCACATGGACACATTCCTGCATGAGTGGCCCCCAGCATGACATCCTTACAAAATGAGCATTAAGGGAATGGCAAGAGTGCTAAGAATGTGCTGTAAGATGCTTTTACATCACAATCTGAGCACAAAGGGCATTTGTTTGGTTTTTATGTTTTATTTTTTTTTTAACATTTTGCATACGGAAGAAGAACACACAGATGACTCAAAGGATTTGAAGGGTAGTCCATTTTAGCTGAAACCTTTCTTTGCATACGCTCTAGTTATTTTAGTTTCACTTTTCATCTGCAGACGTGAAATACGGCCACGATTCTTCCTTGTTTCATAGCACGACACCTTTTGTGATGTCTTCATGTTTGTTGTCTTAAGACGCCCATTTTTTGTTTCCTCTTGATTTTTGTTATTCGCATGATTCATTGACAGCTGAGGCTGTGTGGAACGTGTGTGAGTCATTAAAATCCCTGAAAAAAATAAGCACAATTTGAAGATACTGCACTTTAGGTGGCGGCTGTGTAGTTGGCCAGTGGGGACATGCGGACCACTCCAGATACAATTGCACTACAAGGGTTTTTATTCTCTGTGAAATCAATTATATTAAAGTACTTTAACCCTTTCATGCACCATCTAACCTGATAAGATGTCCACTGTCGTAACCACTGTTCCTGAAAGGGTTAATCAGGATACTGCGCTAATGACTCCATGCAAGTTGCAAGGTCTATCAATATGTACAAGGAATATGCCTACTGTCCTCTTGAGTAGCAATCGCAAACTTGGACATTTTTTTGATGGACCGTCTTCTAAACAAATAAACACGAATCATCAAATATGCAACCACCCATGGTGACATTACAATTAATGTTGTTTTAATTAGTGCAAGTGCTATGTCTCTTTAATGAGCTGGACCCATCTAGTAAAACATCAAAGGCTTGTCTTTTAATGTCGGCCGAGAACATGTTTGAAGCCGAGTCACGCCTCCCATTAGTACGTGACCGTCACAAACCAATGGCGGAAAAAAACTGCAGCTAAGCTCTGTTCATGCTCCACCTATAAATATTACAATTAAAATGCTGTTACCGCCAACTAACAACGCTTCTTTGATCATTTTCTACTCCGCTGATCCTCATCAGGGTTGTGGTTGCGCTGGAGCCGATCCCAGGTGAGAGGTGGTGTACGCCCATGGAATGGTTGCCAGCTAACCGCAGTTGTTTGGTCAGCTCACTAAAATATTTTTATTGAGTCTCTGTGTGGTCACGCACGGCGGTTGGAGGCCCCTGTTTAAGATTATTGAATTCATAAGCACCAGGCGAGGATTGACTGGTCTGGCTGGAGAGTTGAGTCTTCATGTCGGTATTTGTGGATGCCAACAATAGAAAACTGCATATGACTGCATATAAAATAGAATGGAAAAAAAATCAAGAGGAAAAAAAACTGTGGAAGTGGCAGTTAAAATACATTTGATAGCTTTCTGGAATGTTTGTTAGTGTGTGTGGTGTATATTTTACTGCACCCAAACGTCAAGTCTAATATGATGCTGCACCTTCCCCTGGTATGTGGCTTGCTGCAAAAGACCCTGGGCAAGGTATGGGCTGGGGGCCACATTTGGCTTGTGTACAGTCTCTGACCGGCCCTCGCAGTGACCCTCAAGTCAAAGTAAAATGTAAAATATACGGTGCCATCATTTTGAACTTTATGCTTGAACACAAGTGTAAGCAAGGCAGGGAGCAAGAGCTACCTACTTCTTGTGTCTGCAGTTTTGCCAACTTAGCGACGTTTACTCAATATTTTAGGAATTTTACGACCCCGCTAGCAATTATTCTTCAAAAAAAGAGACAACGAAAAATGGCAACAGTGGTCTTAATGCTAGCAACGTTCGTATTTCCTGCACGGTCGAGGGAAGGCGGCCAAGATATGGCCGGATTATACTTTACGCAAGTATATCAAACTGCACGTATTATAAATCAGCACTGCATTATACTGTACACCATTGTCAATAATATTATACTTCCCACTTATATATGTATCTTGGTGTCCTGACGAAGCACGGCTTGTATGAGTTGGCAGTTGTCATTGTAATGATTGCTCATAATTTTGTTTAAAATATATTTCCTAATTATAAAAATGCATACCACATTCACAAAACAGAAACAAGACAATATGATTTTTCTAAAGACAAAGGATGTTAAAAATAATTCAGAAAAAGTTGATATTGGCTTGGCCCTCAGTAATTACTCGTGTTTTATGTGGTCCCTTTGCAAAATTAACTGCCCACACATGAACTAGAGCCTCCAGAGAGTGTAAGAAAAGTGCTTAAGTTGACGGCAGAATGTACGCAAGGCGAGATTTGTGAGGGAACAACCACAATTGTTGGTTGCCCCACCCGTGTCTGTCTGACTTTCCCCTTCTACGCACAATGGAGAATATGGACCTTTGTGAAAGAAGTTATCTTACAAACGCAACTACCCTGTACTGTGCACTGTATTTTGAGAACGCTTAAGAAGCACGTCATTTTCAGCACAAGAGTTGCAAAACCGGCCCTTTTCACTTTGAATTGTCTGCATTTCCAGATTGGTGGTGAAGCGCCAAGCACTTTATCCCCATTTTCACTAAACCGTCTCAGATACTCTTTAGTAAAGAGTATCTGCTGGCTTGACATGGCACTGCAGCCTCCATTGCCCATGAGAAAAGGAGGTTCTACCAGGTGCGAATTCATAGCTAGTCTCTCTTTAGTCAAGCAGATGTGTCATTGTGGTTGTATGCAAACATTACCCTATTCCTTTGCCTGGCTCAGCTCTGGATGCTGAAGTTTTTGCTTAGTTGCCTGTTTTTTAGTTTTTTTGTTTTGCTAATGAGCATTTTTTTGTCCTGTTCTTGTTGCGTGTCTGATATGGATCGTTTAATGCCCAACAGAATCTATACACCTATCAGGTCAAAACTTGCCAGTATTAAATATAAAATATGCGTAAAACAGAAAATGCTTTTCAAACCCATCTGCTGAATTCCAAATGACAAATTAGCACTTTGACACGTGACCTTTTTCTGGTCATCACAGGCAACATTTTTTTTTCCACAGGAAAATTGTGAGCCAGAATGCAACGTGAGACAATTCTTAAATACTTTTTAGGTAAAACCCTGAGCTGGTTGAAGGTTGAATCAGATATAATCAGTGTAGTTTGGATGTATG